GAAAAGGCTAACACCACTAGAGTTGTGGCCTCCAATATTGTCTCATACTATAAGGCATTTAGTCAATCTTCCCTGTCCATTCTGAGTGCCATCGATCAACCATAGTGAACATGGTATATAGTGAATGTCACCCTTCCACTTCTACCAAGTCATCACACCATAACACAAAGAGAAATATCCAGGGCCCTCAGACTAGGCAGACGTACTCAGCTTTCTTAGCATTCCAAGGTGGTTCATAGAAAGTCCGCTCTGTTCTCTCCTCACACAGAAAGCTGGAATAAAAAGAGTAACTAGAACATCTAGAACACGAAATAAAGTAAGGAGGCAGAAGTCACAAAAGCCCATCCACAGATTTTCATGGCTGCACATCATTTCTTCCTGCAATACCACTGAGGAAACGATTTCAGTTACAGTATGTCACTCCTGCAGTGTGGATCTGGTCACTCACAGAAGACTTGGAGTGTTAATTGAATCCTTCTATAACCAGTCTCTAAGTATAGCTTCACTCTATAACCAGTGGGCTACCCAAGAAAGAAAAAGATCTTCATGATGAATTCTTATACCTAACAGGCCATACTTGAGAGTTTCTTCCAGCCTCGGCCTTTTATTAGATAGCAATTATGTTCATCCTGAGTCATGGGACCACAGGACCCCATCTATAACTTCTTTTAACTGCTGACCTCCAAAAGTGGTACCTGATGATAGCAGAGCTATCTATGACCTAAATGTTAAATGACCCCAGAGGCTCATTGGTTGGTTCCAAGTTGGTGGCACTGTCTTTGGAGATTGTGGAATCTTTTGGACACTGGGCCTAGATGTCAAATATAGGGCCACAGAAATATATGAGTTTGTTTTTTTTTTGTTTTTTTTTATTTTTTATTATATGACTTTGAATATCACATGTTTGCCCTATTTCTGGCTTGTCCCTTTGCTTCCTGATCTACTGAGATGTTCAGAGACCATGCAACAGGCAGGCTCTCACTACAAAAGAGCAAACTTCAGCTTCCATGCCTTCTCTACTACACTGAATATGTTTAAGAATCAAGATCCAAAACAAACTGGCCCTCCCTTATGTTGTTTTTGTTCATTATTTTGTTTCAATGATGGAAATAGTAAGCAATATGTGGCCCAATGGATAAGAGACAATTTCAATATCCAGAAGCTCCAATTACTTGCAGTGTTCAACCGTTGGTCCTTACCAGACAGCAGAAAAAAGCCTGGTGTTCCATTTGAGTTCAGTAGTTCATGCTACTGGAGACTCAAAAGCAAGGTCTAGCTGGTCAGGGCATTGCCTGCTGGTTTCATCAGAATCTAGGATAGAATCAATAGTGAAGATCTATCAGTTTCAAAAACATTTGCAGGCCTAGAAATATGATTGTCTCTTAAATCATAAAATAAGTAACACAAATAATGTAAGCATCAAAAAGACAAGAAATAACAACATCTGATATATAGAAAACCATACAGAAGTCACAAAAATGCTAAAGCTAATAAATAAATTTAGTAATACAAGATACAAAATCAACACAAAATTTCTACATATGCATTGCAAAGTTTCCATACAAAGAATTACAATAACAAGTCCCACTTATAATACCAACAACAAACAATAAAATACCTATTAATAAACTTAATAATAAGATGATAAATATCTACAATTGAAACTATGAAACACTGATGGAAGAAACTGAGAAGGATATAAACACATGGAAAGATATTTCATGCATAAGACTTGGAGATGTTTATCATGTTAAAATACCCATGCAATACCTATGAAAATATTGAAATACAAAAAAATTCTCAAATTTGTAAGAAACCACAAAGATTACCAAATATCAAATCTATGTTTACCACAGAACTAAAAGCATTACAGATTTTGACTTGAAAACATACTAATAATCTTTAGAAACCAAAAGAGCATGATACTGACATAAACTCATACTCCCTGACCAGTGGAACAATATAGAGAGCTCAAAAATAAACATTCTGCATTTGCAACTAACTTCATTGAGCAAAGGAACAAGGGACATGACAGCAGGGGCCACCTCCTCAATAAGCAGTGCTGTGAAGAGAGAGTACACATGCAGAGGGATTATGCCAGACTATTTATCCCTCACTAGTTACAGAGGTCAACTGTGATTGGATTAAAGGACGTATATATAGGGTGAAAATTGCTGCAACTGCTAGAAAAAAGACTTTGTCCTGGGCAAAAATATTTGGTCATTACACAAAATATAAAACAACAAATGCCAAAGTTGACAAGTGGGATTAGATGTGGCTCAATTTTTGCATGAAACAAAACATCACATTTTACCACATGATGGTTCTTATTAGGCAGTAATCAGTTTTTCAATTTAAAAAGTTTTAAAAGTCAGCCTCGCATGGTGAGGGCTGCCTCTATAAAGAACCAGTTTCAAAAGCATACCTTTATCCTATTTCCACTCCACTAACTCATGAGTTCATCATTGACATTTCCCTACGACCTTCCAGAAGAACCAGAACTACCTCTACATCCACTCCAAGAACTGAAAAGCTAAACTGGATTAGTGGTTAAGGTTGTTTCTGATCCAAGGAGTCTAGCATTTCCTCTTGATTTAATTCATCACCTCTCAAGAAGCTTGATCCCCATCATATTAGCTACACAATAAGGGTGGACATTTGAGTCAGGCCAGGTGACATCACCGTCAGACAGTAAGCATGAATACAATGTTAAGTCACAGATTTTCATTCACAAATGCTGGAATGAAGGCAGAGCAACTCCAAAAATCCACTTCCTTAAGGAAGGGCCCAATTTCTGTATAAAAATCCAGCTGACTAGAGAGTCTTCAACAGATCCAAGTCCAGAGAGCAGCAGCATCTGAGGTAAGACTCCCACTTGGAATTCTCTAGCAGTAGCTCTGTGTCATTTATCTTGGTTGGGAAGCCCTGACAGCCTAAAAGTTTTTCTACTTTATTTTCACTGTGCATGTTTTGACTTACTTCTCAAATTAGAGCTACAGGACTGAGGATCAGAGAAGATTTCTGTAAAGAACAGCATTATGTTAGCATGAATGTCATGGATGAAACATAACAATCTGGCACTTCAGCGTCTCCTAATCTTGTTGAGAATTTCCATTATCAAAGACACTGCTTTATGTGACTGAATGCTCAAATCTTAAAATCTTTTTGGTGCCTGAATTTATAATCCATCATTGAATATAGTACAGGGGCATAATCTCCTAGCATACAGGATGAAAGTGATTATTGGAAATAGATTCTTGCTAAGACAAAAAGGAAGAATACTTGGAATCCGGCAGAGGCTATGGTAGGGAAGCAACTAAGAGTGAGCCTGTACAAACAAGATAGACATTGGAAAAGAGAGAAAGAAGGGAACAGGACAGGAGCCTACCACAGAGGGCCTCTGAAAGACTCTACCCTGCAGGGTATCAAAGCAGATGATGAGAATCATAGCCAAACTTTTGGCAAAGTGCAGGGAAACTTATGAAAGAAGGAAGAGTTAGAAAGACCTGGAGGGGACAGGAGCTCCACCAGGAGAGAAACAGAACCAAAAAAAAAAAAAAGCTGGGCCCAGGGGTCTTTTCTGAGACTGATACTCCAACCAAGTACCGTGCATGGAGATAACCTAGAATCCCTGCACAGATGTAGCCCATGGCAGCTCAGTATCCAAGTGGGTTACCTAGTAAGGGGAACATGGACTGTCTCTGACATGAACTCAGTGGCTGGCTCTTTGATCACCTCCCCCTGAGGGGGGAAGCAGCCTTACCAGGCCACAGAGGAAGACAATGCAGCCAGTCCTGATGAGACCTGATAGGCTAGGGTCAGATGGAAGGGGAGGAGGACCTTCCCTATCAGTGGAAAGAGATAAGGGAGGGAGGATGGGATTGGGAGGGAATGAGGGAGGGAGCTACAGCTGGGGTACAAAGTGAATAAACTGTAATTGATATAAAATTTAAAAAAAACAAAATGTAAAAATTAAAAAGAGTGAGCCTGTATGAACAAGCAGCAATGCAATGAGAACTCATAGCAAATTAATGTAGAGGAAAGTGTGAATTTGGCTCAGATGTGAATATTGCAGGCATGGGGAGGTTTACAAGAAGCCTTCCTATAAAAATTCCACTTCAGACTTTTTTGTCCAATCATTCTCTGAAATTACTGAAAACTTAGGGATTCACAGCAACCCTAGGAGCCTACTGTTGGTTTGAGTTATATCCTGTTTATGGCCTATACATAGGTTAAAAAAAATTCCACCATAGAGGAAAAAAACCAATCAAATAAGGCCTCTATTCACAGAGATGTGGGAAACAAAATATCAAAGTCCAAAGACCAGTGAAAAGGGAGTAGTTTTTAATGTACCCTTCTGCAGAAAGGGATGCCAGCAGACAGAAAAAGTAAAGGTGTTCACAGTGTTGGATTGACACAAGACAAGATCTCAAGAAACTACTGACCTTTCTTTCCATAGGTAGGACTTGCTCCCTGACACAGAGCTTTAGCTAATGAATAATAATAATAATAATAATAATAATAATAATAAATATTAGTTATTAAATAATATGTTTGCTGTTATTAAATAATGATATTAAGATAAACTTAAAATATTCTTAAATAATCATAAGTTAGAACTTGAGGATGCCTCTTTTCTGGTTATAACATCAGTCAAAAGCAAATTGCCTGTCGCTAACTTCCAGACAGACAGGTACCAATTGCCAGCTAGGAGGGAGAGGATTATAGTGTATCCTAGGATCTGTAGCTCTGATAAATGACAAGCCCACCTTATACTGAAATTGACTATAACCATTTATTTCTTATACAAACATGATCAAGCAGTCTTAATCTTTTAGCTTAAAAAATGAGTGATGAATGTAAAGCAACCTATGATTTTCCTTCAGCTTGGGGAAATCAAAGAGTCTTTACAGGGAAAATGCAATGAAAAAAACAGCTTCTATTAATTCCCTCAAAACACTGTCATTTGTCTTGTATCTAGGGTCAGCATCCTTTGAAATATGAGTTCCTACCAGCAGAAGCAGCCTTTTGTCGTGCCTCCTCAGCCTCAAGAGCATCAAGTGAAGCAACCCTGTCAGCCTCCATCACAAGGACAATTTGAACCAATAACCACCACTGGGCCATGCCACACAGATGTTCCACAACCAGGAAACACCAAGATTCCAGAGCCATGCAACACCAAAGTGCCTGAGTCAGGCTACACTGTTGTCCTTGAGCCAGATTATACTACAGTGCCTGGGCCGTGCTCTACCAACATCCCTGGGCCGTGCTCTACCAACATCCCTGGGCCATGCTCTACCAACATCCCTGGGCAAGATTATACCACAATCCCTGGGCCATGCTCTACCAATATCCCTGAGCCAAACTCAGGGCCATGCTCTACCAATGTTCATGAACCTGGCTATGTGAATGTCAAGGTTCCTGATCAGAGCTATACCATGATACCTGACCAGGGTTACTCTAAGGTACCAGAGCCATGCCAGTCCAAGATTCCTGAAGCGTGTCCTACAACTGTCACTCCAGAATTAGCTCAGCAGAAGACCAAGCAGAAATAATACCGTCGATAGCCAGCCAGGCCTTTGAAGAGCCAAACACCAGATGCTGAACTCCTTTATTCTGTCTGCTTCTGTATCTCCACTTTCTGGAGACCATTTAGCAATATTTTGCCACACTCTCTATGTGTACTCTAAAAATACCTATTGCTGGTGTCTTCCTCCACACCCGCTAAGGTGCCTTCAAGTTAAGCAGAAAATCTTAGTGCCTTGAATGCTTTTTGGATCCTTCATCTGGATCAAAACTCTAGCAGATTTTCTATAGAAAAAAAATGCATGTTTCCTGCTTTGCCCCATTAAAATACCTGTAAATCCACTCTTGCCTCTGTGTGATATTTGCTAAATCCTTTCCCTTCCTTTGCCTTCCTTTGTGAGTCAAGGCCTATATACTGAAAAGGATTGGTATAGACGTGATTACATTAATGTTAATCCAGTCACAGTGTACACCCAGGAAGCTGTGAGGACACATTAGGAGGCTCTCATGGGAAAGTGTTCAGGTATTGTCTATTGGCACTCAAAGCCAATCACTTTGAAACGCTAGTTTAAACAAGGTCTTTTCTTCTGCTCCTGACTGAGCCTTACCTAATCGTTTTTACTACCCTAACATACATCTTATGCTCAGTATTGAAGTCTCCATTCAATGGACAGCTACTTGTATACTCTTCCATCTCAGTTTTTTCATTGTCTCATTATTTCCTTTTACTTAACCCTGATACATACCATTCTACTCTCTCACTGTACATCTCTTCACACTCTCGTGGTAACCTACAAAATTCTACCATCACTAATTCAAGCAACGGTCCCTTTCTCTAAAAACCCAGCACATAAGAGGTCCTGCATCTGGGGGCACAGGAGGAAAGGATACATACTGCTTGCCTTGGAGAGAACTGTTTCCTCTGGGGTTATGATCTTCCATGTCCTTTTCATACAATCATGCACACACATGTGAATGTCAAGGTTCCTGATCAGGGCTATACCATGATACCTGACCAGGGTTACTCTAAGGTACCAGAGCCATGCCAGTCCAAGATTCCTTCTTGGACTCCTTCTGCATAGCCCACCCACCTTTTACCATAGTCTATCTGCCCAGGAGTAATGCATCAGGCATTTTATCCAGTGATTAAAACAGGATTCCTTTTAAGCAATGACCTAGAATCCACAGCCCAGATGTGTGAATAATTATGTACCAAGTTAGGAAAGTGCAGGCTACTAAGCTGTAAAATCCCAGGAGTGAAAGGGGGACTAGAACATCAAGCACAGCTGCTCTATTGTTCCATGAAAGAAGATAAATATGTTTTTGCCCCACACCTAGAGCTCAGAATTTCAGTCCCTTGCTATCTCCTACAACACGATCTTGGTTTCAGAGATGACCAAGCAGAGAATCTGTGTGCAGAGGACATGGTAATGGAGAACCATCTCCAGCAGTTGACAAGACATACATCTTGAAAAACAAAACAAAACCCTGCATCAGTCCCTAGGAATCAAGCTGCGTTTTTAGTAAGTTCCACAACATCAGAAGCGTGAGTCAGATGACAATCATAAGCAGTGTGTTGCACAAGTACTTCAAGTAGGTTTCACAAGAGTTCCTGAGATACATGGAAATTGAAGGAGAAAACTCACTCTCCAAATCATCACAAGGTGATGAGAAGTTGTTAGACCAGTAGTAGAAGAGGACATCCCTTATACCTTGTCAGTACCTACATGCTGAGTTGGCTTCACATTAACCCTGGTTTCAGTGGTGGAAAAGTTTAGAGATGAGTGCAAGATGAATCACTGTTAAGTTAGCTAATTCTAAGTACAGATGCCCAATGTGTGATATGCAGCTATTGGGAATATAGAGTAATGTACTTCCAATACTCCTATTGTTTAGAACTGCCTTTTTCAAAATACTTTAATGTTAGATATTAATTTATGATATATATAATAAAAATTACCTTCTAAGATAATTGACAGTGTAGAGCTCAGTGGCACTGATTCAATCTGCAGCTTACCCTTTGTTAAAGCACATGCATGCTAATGAGCTTATGAAACATGAAAAATCCTAATGCTAAATTCAGTAAAATATGAATGATGATTGTTCCTGAAAACTTTGATTAATGCTCATTTTTGTCTGTCTTTCAGAATAATTTGCACTGTGTGATACTATCTTATATTTTTTATGACTTTTATTGTGATACTGAATAAAAGCCCATGAAGTTATCAGTAAGCTAAAGGAAATACATGCGTTCTGCCCTCTCAAAACCATCCCTGGGTTCCTCAGTACAGATTCCTTACAAGGAGTACGAGCACTCTTTTGAAGAATCCTTGCTGAAAGAGTCCCTGGTAGCTTCCCTTTCCACACACACTTATTAATTGTTCCATGTTATCTGTTGTGTGTGTATATACGAGTGTGGATGTATGAGTGCCAGGCAGTGTATGGAAGTCAGAGGACCACCTCTTCTCCTTCGTGGGTTGCAGAGATGAAGCTCAGGTTGAATGTCTTGATGACAAGCTCCTTTTCCCACTGAGCTTTCTCCCTGGAATCCTCCATATATTCATTCCAGCCTTCCCTTAGGAAATGAAAAGATCCAACAGCCACTGACACTACCATCCCAAGAGTTCCCAGCCTAACTAGCTGCCCAGGCCATTTCTATAAAGCTCCTCCAATTCCTGTAACTAAGGTATTGTTTCTCTGGATTCTTGCCTTCTCTGCCTAATTGACCCTGTAATGGCCAGGGAAGATGTTTACCCATCACCCGTCAGATAATTTGTCAAATATCAGATTAACATTTAGATTGCAGGATCATTATCTTAACTTCTACACTTTTTTCCCATGGAGCTACTTTGTTTTCTACATCTTATTTTCTTCTTTCTTCTGGGGAAATAACCTCCATAGTTGTTTTTTTAAGTCTATTTTCTAAAACTAAGTTACTGCCACTTCAAGTACATCTGTATTTCTGACTGAGAAAAATCTCCCAGTGGGTCTAGGACAATCCCTTTCTCAGACTAATCCCCAGCTCAGTGTTCTGACTTTCATCCTCTCCTCCCTGCCTCTGCCCCATTGTGCCCTAGAGTTGATCTCCTATCTCGAATTCACCAGCTCATATACTTCCAAAGAATCAACTACCTAACTTGAGCCATTGACCAAATGTACCACAACCTATAGCAAACAGCTTACTCCTCCCACATTATCCTCCTCAAACTTATGATTCTTTTTTTTAAATTACACTTTATTCATTTTGTACCCCCCCATAAGCCCCTCCCTCCTCCCCTCCTGATCCCACCCTTCCTCCCCTTTCTGCATGCATGCCCCTCCCCAAGTCCACTGATAGAATAGGTCTTCCTCTCCTTTCTGATCTTAGACTATCAGTTCTCAGCAGAAGTGGCTGCATTGTCATCTTCTGTGGCCTGGTAAGACTGCTCCCCACTCAGGGGGAGGTGATCAAAGAGCAGGCCAATCAGATTATGTCAGAGGCAGTCCCTCTTCCCATTACTATGTAACCCACTTGGAAACTGAACTGCCATGGGCTACATCTGTGCAGGGGTTCTAGGTTATCTCCATGAGTAGTCCTTGGTTGGAGTATGAGTCTCTGGGAAGTTCCCTGTGTTCAAATTTTCTTGTTCTGTTGCTCTCCTTGTGGAGTTCCTGTCCTCTCCAGCTCTTGCTATTTCCCACTTCTTACATAAACTTATGATTCTTAAATTCACATGGAATCTCTCCTAACTGGAAGTCCATAAAGACAGGAACCTTTGCTGTCTTGCTCAGGGCTTTACTGTTACCTGGAGATCAGCTTACTGCCCAGCAAATGGCTGAAGTCATTTCATGTTAGCGGAAGTGTTGAGAGGTTTTGGCCTCTGCTGAGTACTGTGTTGGATTTGATCACAGCCCCTGCACTGCTCTGCTCTAACCAAATCTCTCCTGTATTGAGAACGCCCCGGGCAGGATCCTGCCTCATCCTCATTCATTCTCCTCCCTAGTCCCAAAATACTTTTTACTGGGAGTGACAAGGAGCCTGATGAGAGCAACTTAGTACTCACTCTCTCTGTCTCTGACTCTCTCTCTCTCTGTCTCTGACTCTCTCTCTCTCTCTCTCTCTCTCTCTCTCACACACACACACACACACACACATACATTTAAGTTTAAAAAAGAAAAAGAAAAACAGGGCTAGCATGGCTCAGAGAGTAAAGGTGCTTGAATCAAGCCTTGACAGTTTGAATTTGATCCCTGGAACCTACAAGGTAGATAAGAAGAACCAACTCCTACAAGTTGTCCTTTGATCTCCATATACACTCCCATGACACATATGTACACAGGCTACAAAATTAATAATTTTTAGTTTTTATCTGACATGAATTCTGGAGTGATGGCACCTTTGAAGTAGCCTTTTCCCCACACAATTGATTCATTATATGTCCCAATTAAAGCCCCCTCCCTCTATCGCCCCAGTCCCACCCTTCCTCCTTCTCCCTCCCCCATCTGCTTCCCCTAGTCCACTGAAAGGGGAAGTTCTCCACTATTGCCATCTGCCCATAGCTTGTTAAGTCTCATCAGCACTTCCTGGACCCTCTTCCTCCATGGCCTGGCAAGGCTGCTTCATCAGGAGCAAGTGAGCAAAGAGCAGTCAACTGAGTTCATGACAGAGGCAACCCCTGCTCCCCTCTCTCAGAGAGCCACATGGAGACTGAGCTGCCAATAGGCCACATCTAGGTCCTCTCCATGCATGGTCCTCCATTGGTGCATCAGTCTCTGCAGGAACCCCTGGGCTTAGATCTTTTAGTTTTGTTGGGGTTCCTTCTGGGGATCCTGTGCCCTCCATGTCCCTCTATTCCCACCCCTATCTTTTTCCATAAGACTCACTGTACTCTGCCCATAATTTGGCTGTGAGTCTCAGCATCTACTTAGATCCCCTGTTGGTTGAATACTTTCAGAGGACCCTCTATAATAGTCTCCCATCCTGTTTCCTCTTTTCCACTGCTTCTGGTGTCTGTTTTCTCAACTATGTTCATAGCAGCTTTATTTGTAA